CGATTCCCGAACTCTTTTTCGCGCACCTTTCGAGATGGACATAAACGATGCAAGTTCCATCTTGGAATACGGTTCGCCCATCTCTGTTATGACCTTCTTGAATGAATGGAATGCGCTATCTTTGTCGTATATGTTATACTGATAGACTTCGTCGGCCAACAAAAACAGGTGATGTTTATGGGCGAAGCGAATGACATTTTCGATGTTCTTGCGAGTCAATACTTGGCCGGTCGGATTACCGGGATTGATCACCACCAGCACACGAGGATTACATGTATCCTTGACCTTTCTTAATGCTCGTTCCAGCTCGCCGACTTCTAGCGACCATTTGTTGTCCTCATCCAGATAGTATCCAATCTGAGCGAGACCAAACTCCGCCAGAGTCGCCGAGTATAGAGGATACTGAGGAATTGGGATCAACACGCCGGATGGTTTGTCGTCGATCCTTTCGTTGAATAGATTCAGGAATGACTGGGAAAAAATTATACATGCATGAGATAAAAGAAGACAAAGTATAGCATTCCCTACTCAAAATAATCATGTCACAAAGTTGATCAATAATTAATTACAATGAAATCATGTAATTAAGACAGATAAATCACATAACGAATTGTTTCAAATCAGTATGTGATTTTTAAAAATCACGTTATTTGAAAAATCACATGACATTAGAAATAATTTCATCCATTATGTGATTTTATAGTTACCAAATTTTGAAAAATTGAATTATAGAAATAGAGAAGAAAAAACGTATCATCATGTGACTTTTCAAATAACGTCATTTAAATAAATCACATAATGATTTGGAACAATTCGTTACGTAATTTACTTGTCTTAATTACATGATTTCGTTATACAACTTTGTGATGTGATTTTTTTTAGTAGGGTTAACAGCTGTCCAAATTATCAGTCTGTCCAAAATACCAAAGTTTAAAATACCAATTTCAATTTTGTATAACGTGCATCGTGTATGTAAAAATGATTGATCTAAGATATAAATATGTATTATTCGTATAAAATACTATTCATTATTATGATAGAAGAAATAAACTAGGAAAGTAACGTTGCAACATGTAACTTTGTGTTTACGGAGTAGCGTAG